ACTAAGTCTGACACACACACACACACACCTGTACTTGTGGATGCACTAAGTCCGACACACACACACACACCTGTACTGGTGGATGCACTAAGTCCGACACACACACACCGACCCACCTGTACTTGTGAATGCACTAAGTCCGACACACACACCTGTACTTGTGGATGCACTAAGTCCGACACACACACACACACCTGTACTTGTGGATGCACTAAGTCCGACACACACACACACCTGTACTTGTGGATGCACTAAGTCCGACACACACACACACCTGTACTTGTGGATGCACTAAGTCCGACACACACACACACCTGTACTTGTGGATGCACTAAGTCCGACACACTCAAACACCGACCCACCTGTACTGGTGGATACACTAAGTCCGACACACACACACACACACCTGTACTTGTGGATGCACTTAGTCCAACACACACACACCCACCTGTACTTGTGGATGCGTTAAGTCCGACACACACACACACCGACCCACCTGTACTGGTGGATGTCCTCGAAGGACTTGGAGTTGTTGATGACGAAGACGCAGAGGAAGCGCTGGCGGTCGGAGACTGAAATGGTGGCGGCTGAGGAGCTTGTTCACTAGCTCACTCCTTGTTTAAAAAATGTTGCTTTGAAGGTCTCGCTCTCAAAATAACGCTCCCAAATAATCAACAGATATTGGTAGTGTGCTGCTATCGACCGCCTAGTGGGAAGGATGTTGAAGCTGCGTCTGCACTGAGAGAGCTTTTTGGGCGCCTCCCTAAAGGTGAAATAGTTTTAGTGGGTGATCTAAATTGGAATTGGCTAAACCCGCCGGCCGTGGCCACACATTTTGCAGATGAATTTAATCTGTTTCAATTAATAAATGTCCCCACAAGACCCAACCTAAAATATTCGGGACAGTCAACTCTGCTTGACGTCCTATTGACATATGCCCCTCACAATTTCACACTGACTGGTGTTCTGGGTAATAACCTTAGTGATCACTCCTTCATTTTTGGAGTGAGATCATCAGCCAGACCCAAAGCCCCCCTAAATTGGTTGAGAAGCACTCTATGATCACTTCAGCACTCAGGCATTTGCTAATAATGTGCTTCACTCGGATATTGACAAGGTCTGTGATATCCCCAACCTGATTACGGCTTGGGAGACTTTCAGGTACACGTTTCTCCAAATTCTTAACAAACATGCTCCGTTGGTTAGATTTAAAACTAAATGCAACCGCCCACCATGGTTTGATCATTTGATTACAAAGCTAATGAAAACTAGGGACAAGGCTTGGGCATGTGCTGAGAAAAGTAATTTGGTCAATGACTGGCTAGAATACAGGATTTTAAGGAATAGATGCGTCAAAAAAATACGGCATGCAAAAAATGCCTACTTTTCCTCCACTCTCCTGGAATCACATGGAAATGCCAGGATTTTCTTGAAAACAAATATATCGAAAAGGCATCCAAAACAGACAATCTGCCCGTTGAGCTTAACCGAAATGGGGAATATTTTTCAGATCCCCAAAAAATAGTTGACAATTTTAACCTTCATTTTTCTGAAGCTGGTAATCTTTTTTTATAATGTATTGGGAGTCACCTCTGCTCATGCAAATTCCTACACCCCTGTCCAAACATTAAACGAATTTAGTTTCCAGACAATCCACGAAAGTAATGTTCTGAAACAACTGTCTTACCTCAAAGGGTCTTCCTCTTCCGGAGCAGATAGTACTCCCGTCTTTGCTCTACTAACTGTTGGTCACCTAATATACAAACCTATAGCCCATATTTTCAACCTGTCCATCAAAGAAGCATCAGTTCCTCTAGAATGGAAACATTCCTATGTCCGTCCACTTCACAAAGGGGGCCCTAAAGATGATCCAAATAACTACTGACCTATCTCAATTTTGTCCCCGTTGATGAAAATTTTTGAAAAATTATTGACCTACCAAATTAGCAGTTTCCTGTCCACCAACAATCTACTACATCTAAAACAATCTGGGTTCGGAAAAAAATACAGCACCACATCTGCTGCATTAGACTCTCTGAATCACATTTACAGTAGCCTTGATAATAAGCAGTACTGTACCTGTCTTTTTCTAGACCTGTCCAAAGCTTTTGATACAGTAGACCACAACACCCTGCTTAGTAAATTAAGTTGCCTCGGTTTTTCCGAAAACACAGTAAAATGGTTACAAAATTACCTCTTTTCTCGCACCCAAACTGTATTCACAGATGGTTGGAGGTCAAACAGTGTTAAGATAACAAAAGGGGTTCCACAGGGTTCCATCCTCAGCCCCCTTTTCTTCTCTCTTTATGTCAATGACTTGGGCACTGACCTGGATCATTCCAGGGTAAATCTTTTTGCAGATGACACAATACTGATTACTGCTGGCCGCTCTCCGGATGACGTGATTGCTAAGCTACAGGGTGATTTCAACAAACTACAACATCAGCTAGTTGCTCTTAAACTAGTCCTGAATACCTACAAAACCAAGGTGCTATGCTTCTCACCAGGACTAAAGCAGGAAGTCATGTTTCCCCAATTACATTCCTTAAATAATTATAAAATAGAGCAAGTCAAGATCTATAAGTATCTTGGGGTCATCCTGGATTCAAAACTGCATTTTGAAGATCACATTGATTATATTGGTAAAAAGACAAAAATAAAAATTGGTTTTCTGTATCGACACAAGCACTGCTTCCCCCCAATGTTCCGTTTGGAATTGATAAAAGCTACCATACTGCCTCTACTTGACTACTGTGACATCGTGTATAAATCAGCCCCAAGTACTGTACTGAAGAAGCTTGATTCCATCTATCACTCGGCCTTAAAATTTACATTGAACTGCACATATAGGACTCACCACTGTGATCTCTACATTGGGTCAAACTTAACGTCTCTTAATGTTCGACGGCTTGTGCACCAGATCTTATTTATTCACGATGTACTTACCAAAAAATCCACAGACTACCTGCTGGATCTCCACTCTATTTCAAATAACAAATTTGACCTCAGGTCTTCGCTCATTTACCAGCTTCACATTCCCTATTGCCGTAGGAAGGGCCTTTGCTATTGATGCCCCCAGAGTCTGGAATGCTATTGCCAATAAACTGCAACTTGAATCGCTACCAATGAGATCTTCTCTCAAAACTGCTCTCGAGGAGTTGTACACCCCTATCTGCCACTGCTATTCATTGGCGTAACATAAAATAAAATGTTTCGCTCCGGATGACGCTGCAAAGTATTATCTGTATTTTGATTTAGCGTGCTGATCTTAAAGGTACATTGAGTAATTTGATACTCAGACCGATGCTTCTGTTGTTGTGGAGTAACTCATGCAGCCAACTATGGCTCTAGGATTTGGTGTTACATGTTATTTATGTAGTTAATTGTAAAAATTCGGTCACAGTCCCTGTGATCACTGTTACGCTGCAATTATGGCTTTATTTTTTGGTGATTTGGAAAACGTTTTTAGGTTTGGACATGTTTGTTTTGTTGTAGTACGGAGTTAAACTGATGGCCTTAATCTAAGTTTTTGTGGTTGTTGTTTGACTTGCATCCCACTGGGATTTTTTGCACACAGCGTTGGTGTACGGCTACTTTTTTCAGGAATATTTTGCTGTTTTTTTCATGGATTTTCTGTTTGCACAGTCACATAGTCACTTTAAGATGTTTTTCTTGTTCGTGTTTTTGTTTTTTTTGTTTGTTTTGTTTGTTGTGGTTGCACCCGATTCAAGAGCCGAATCGCTCACAGGGCTAAAATAAACTGAAAACTGAACTGGGCCTTCAAACCGTCACGGAGAGACGCGGGTGGAGGAGGGGCGGGGTTTGAAGGGGGCGTGGTGGAAGGAGGCGGGGCGGAGTGGAAGAGGGCGGGGCGAGTGGAGGGGGGCGGGGTGGAGTGGGTGCAAGGGGCGGGGTGGAAGGAGGCGGAGCGGCGTGTAAGGGGGCGTGGTGTAATGGGGCGGGGTGGGGGTGCAAGGGGGCGGGGCGGGGTGGGGAAACGCCCCTTGGTTTAAAAAAACGCCGCGTATTTCGATTGGTCGAGAGGCGTGCACGTGACCCGCTTTATATTTCATGCAGTTCACATTCCTGGTTCTTTCGGTAAAGTCACGTAGATAGAAAATAAAAATTAAATTAAAAATAACTAAAATGAAACGCAAAGCAAAAAACCCACGACGTTGAGCGGAAGAGAAACAAATCCCCCTCCCCCTCCCCCCACAATCCCGCCCACTTGGCGCTACCCAGAGTGCATTGCAGTGCCAGTGGCGTGTCCGTGAACACGTGGGGGCCACGCGGTGGGTTGTTGCCATCATCATCATCACCACCATCATCATCAACACCATCATCATCAACACCATCATCATCAACACCATCATCATCATCAACACCACCATCATCATCAACACCATCATCATCATAAACACCACCATCATTAACACCATCAACAACACCACCATCATCATCAACACCATCAACATCACCATCAACAACACCATCATCATCATAAACACCACCATCATCAACACCACCATCATCATCACCATCATCATCAACACCACCACCATCATCAACATCACCATCATCACCATCATCAACACCACCATCATCATCATCATCAACACCACCATCATCAACACCATCATCAACAACACCACCAACACCACCACCATCATCAACACCATCATCATCAACACCACCAACATCATCAACACCACCACCATCAACAACACCACCATCATCATCAACACCACCACCATCAACACCACCACCATCAACACCACCACCATCAACACCACCACCATCAACATCAACACCATCAACACCACCACCATCATCACCATCGTCGTCGTCTCACGATCCGGGCCAAGTTCCCCCCTCCCCCCCCTCCTCCTGCCCGGCCCCACCAAGGCGGCCCCACCAGCCCCTCTCGTCGCCCGTAGCCAGAGCCGGCGACCATGGCCACTTGGGCGGCCTGCATGGGCGTCAGGATGAGCTTGCTCTCCATGGCGGGCATCCGCTACGAGGGCATCCTCTGTGACATCAACACGGACGACTCCACCGTCGTCTTGGCGAAAGGTTACGCACTGGGGGGTGAGGGGTGGTTCACGGGGCGACTGTGGACACCCCGAAGCTGCGGGTTAGGGGTTTAATGAAGCCGCTTGAGTCGTCCTAACAGGCGACTCGCTCGGGCAGCAGCAGCAGGAGGAGGCCTTGGGGCTGGGGAAAGTTTGCCAGGAGGAGGTGAACGTGTCGGCGACGTTGTCGCCTTCTGGACAGATTGGTGTGGGTGTCGTGGGGTCAATGTGTGGGGGGGGTATTAAGGAGGGGTTTGACCCTTTTCAGGGCAATCAAACAGGAGGTGTTAAGATGCTCAAACGACAAGATAGTCTTTGTTTTTTTTCGGTAACGTCACGTAGGTTAAAAAAAATGAAAACAACTAAATTAAATCATGATTGTATTGGATTGCTGTATGTACTTTTGTGTTTTCAATTAACCTGGATTTGTAAGAGAGTCCTTAATCTCAGTGGGAATTGCCCAGAAATGTTTAAAATGACAGCCATTGATGCGTCACGTGGGGGTCAGACATTTGTGACGATGTGTGACGAGGGGCGGTGGGGAGTTGAGAAATGTGACGTCACATGAAAATTCGCAACTTTAAATATAGAGAACACGTTCTACTTATCTTCTTGGTTCTTTCGGTAAAGTCACATAGAATGGAAATAAAATAATAAAAATAAAGCAATAACATTTTATTGTTAAGAAAATTGTATAATGTTTTATTATTTTTTTTTTATAAAATAAAATGTTATTTTATTATGTTTTATTTTTATTATTTTATTTCCATTCTACGTGACTTTACCGAAAGAGCCAATAAGATGAATCCCTGCAGTCACGAAAGCTTTAAATCGAAACGTTCTACTTAATCAAATAGACTTGTTAATAAATGTTTTCACCTTCAACATCGGAGTGCAGCGCCACATTAAATACGCACTACAATGATAATAGTTTAAAGAGATTTGAAGCGTGTTTTATATATTTTTTTTTGGGGGGGGGGGGGGTGGCAAAAATCGTCCAAAATCGCGCGACGTCATTTATGGCCGGCGCCTCTAGCTGTGCTGGGGCAAAGTTCTTCAACTCGTCACCCGCTTAATCACGAATGTTCTGAGGTTGTTCTTGCTGATTCTGGGTCGCAGTGGTTTCAAGTATTTTTCAACGAAGGTTATTGGGTGCACAGCCGTTTCAATACGGGCACACATTGTTTCGTCCGTCTGTTTGCGTTTCTCCCTTGCGACGGGACCTCGTTGTCTAAACGTTGATATTTATAAGGGCAGGGGGTGACCAATAAGGGTTTGAATCGATCTGTAACAATCTAGGGGCACTGATAAGGGGTTGACAGCTATGCCAACACGAACGCGCGATTAACCCCGTTGACCTGAACAAGTTCGTGGTTTCGGTGCGTGCGCGTGTTCAAGTTTCATTTATTAGGTATAGTCCTGTGAGCCATGCGAGCATCTTAAGTCGGGGTGCAACCGCAACAAACAAAATTTGAACACAGAACATCTTAAAGCGACGACGCGTAACAGAAACATTCTGGAATAAACCAGCAAATAATTCCACACAAAAACAACGTATTAAAACGCTGCGCGCAAAAATCAAGTGTTGAAGCCGGGTCGGTAGTCACAGGGCAATGAGATGCGGCTGGTCATAGACGGCGCGTGACCCCGGCCAAAAAGCCCGGCAGGGTGCCGCTTAAGGGGCCGTCCATAAATGACGTCACGCGATTCTGAACGATTTTTTTGACCCCCCCCCCCGCCCTCAAATATGACGTCACAAAGCTCTGCCCCCTCCCCCCCGCCAAAATAAAACACACTTCAAATCGCTTTAAACTATTGTTGTCATTGTAGTGCGTATTTAATGTGCCGCTGCACTCTGATCTTGTAGGAGAAAACATTAAAAAGTCTAATTAAGTGGAACGTGTTGTCTATATTTAAAGTTGCGCATTTTGATGTGACGTCACATTTATCAAACTCCCCCCCCCCCCCCCAGTCGTCACACGTCGTCACAAATGTCTGACCCCCCCCCCCCCAGGTGCGTGACGTCATTTCTGGACGGCCCCAAAACACTCCAGCGCTGTCCTACCAGACAGTCTCGACCCCTTCACCTGATGAAGGCCGCTTGTGTTGTGGCCGAAACGTCGTGAGAATATTATTGTGTTATTTTATTTTATCAATTTATTATTTTATTCTCATTCTACGTGGTGACTTTACCGAAAGAACCAAAGAAGAGGCCCCAAAACAGTTAATTTGGAAATGTTCCAGATTCATTTTTGCCTTCGTTCACAGATCTGGGCCAACGGCACCTGTCTGGATTAAATTGGCACAATGGAGAACTTCTTTGCGACGGTGATGATAGGGATTTGTGATGTTGATACCCATAAACATTCAATACCTGCAGGCATATGGCTTATGGATGACGGGCTATTGGTTGGTTTTAATACAGCTAAGACATAATAAAATAAAATACATATAAAATAAATTTCATTTATATTTTATTTAAATAAAAATAAAATAAATTTCATTTTTATTTTATTATGTTTTATTTTTATTATTTCCGTTCTACGTGACTTTACCGAAAGAAACAAGAATATTTAATACAGCTTCTGGCAGGAAATAAATGAATCTCAATTTTTGGCTTGCAGAGTTGAGAAATGTGTGCAGCTCGGAACCCCGCGAGCTAGATTTGATTCCTGGCTACAGACAACGTCGTCGGTGGTGGCCTTGTATCCCAACTCATTCTGGTTTTCGTGTAGGTAGACTGCCTTCAAGTGAAGTTACCTGGTGCGGTGTGTTAGTAAAAAAGATGATTAAATCAGCACTGGGGAGGATGAAGGTAGCTGAACCAGCTAGAAACTATTTTAAACAATTGTTTAGGTTGCGGGTAAGGCCCACTTACTATACTGCTCTTTCAGAAGCGACCTCCCCACAAATGGTAGGTAACGCAACGAAGTGGCTTATCGAAGGACCTGGAGGGGGGGGGGGGGAAATCCACTCGACCCATGGGAAGAGAAAACCTCGCTGACTCCAAATATACAGCAGGTGTTGTCAGGGTTGGGATGAAACGCATGACCTTCGATATATACCAGGCGAGGTAGTTAACTTCTCACCACAGTGGCGCCCAAAACCCACAACCACGCACCTGCTCCGACCTGCATAGGTGCTCTCGACCGTAACAACGCTTGACCAAACGGGTACGTGGAGGTCTGTACCAGCGGCGGGCGTCTTTGTGTGTGCGCAGTGCGCTTGCGCGGGACGGAGGGGCGCCCCGCCGACCGTCCCATCGCCCCTCGTGAGGAGGTCTTCGAATACATCGTCTTTCGCGTCAGCGAGATCAAGGACTTGACCCCGTGCGAGTACATGCTGTCCGCTCTGCACCACGACGTGGCCATGGTGCAGGTGAGAGGTGCAGGCGCTCTTTACCATTCAACTATTTATTGTACCATGTAAGGCCCACCGAGCTACTTAACTCTCTTTTCAGAAGCGACCTGGCCACAAATGATTTGCTCAACGAAGCGGCTTATCGCGTGGACATTTCCAGCAGCCAAATGCTCCAAATGCACGTCGGTTCTAAAACGTGGAGGTAGAAACTGGATGACCCAGAGAAATCCACGTGACCACGGGGGAGGACGTTGCAAACTCCAAAAATATGCAGGCGTCGGGGGTCTGGATCAAACCCCACGACCTATTGTATTCCAGGCGAGGTAGTTAACATCTTGCCATGGTTTAGGGGAGCGGTGGCACAGTGGTTGATGCGCTGCACCACAAACCCGCCTACGACCCACCGGGGTTTGATTCCCACTTACGGCCAACGCCAGGTGACAATTATCTGAAACGGTCCCGGGCTTTTCCTGAGGTCTATCCAATGAGCACCTGGTGCGATGTATAAACATCGCCACTTGGGAGAAGGCGGTCGGGCGTGGTGCTGGCTTCCCCACCTCCTCCGTGTGCTTTGCCGGCCTCGTAGTTGCTCGCACTGCACTTGCCCCGAACGTCCTTTAAGCCTTTAAGGGACATCTTTGGCAACATGTTGACAAAATGTGGAAAAAAAAGTCAACGCTGATCGGCTGCATTTCGGGCAAATTTTCCCTTCACGGCACTGGAATCGAGGAAGCCAGAGATGGTGGAGAATACGAGGTTGGAGACTGCACTTCACACTCGGGGGGCTTGATGAAAGTTGCATTTGAGAGTTACAATAGTTAGCTAACAGTGGTAGCTGTGGAGGGTTTTTACAGGTTGAGGAGGAGGAGATGGAGGAGGCTACCAAGATCCGAGCCCGGGTGCCAGCGTGCCAGTGGCTGAATTGCGCAACCCTTGGCACCTGGTTGGCTCTCGGGTGATGACATCGCAATTATCCCTCCTCCTAAGACCAGAGGTTCTCTGTAAGCCATCTGGCTACCATGAGAGATTCGTTCATGAGGCTATCCACATATACAAACACAGAGACAATTTCAACCGAGAGGAAGGAATTCTGGCTTAGCAATCATTGGAAGGATTTGATAAACCATTTCGGGTCTTAATTGATTGTTCACGCTTACGGTGGCTTTCAGACCGCATCCATCATTTTCGTCTCCCCCCTCCTCTTTTCCGAACATAGATGGACTCGTCCATCTGAATAACTGCCAAATCGCTCTCCGTGGTGCTAACGTTAAAAAAAAACCCGCCACTTTTTAAAAAAAAATGTCTTGCTGTGGTTTTTACACCTGATGATGATTGCTTGTCTTGCAGTCGAAACGTCGTGAGAATTTTAAAGTTTTATATTTTTATTATTTTATTGTTTCCCTTCTACGTGGTGGTGACTTTACCGAAAGAACCAAGAAGGTGCATAAGAAGTTTGACATGCGTACGTCGTCCGTCGTGATTTGTTCTAATCGCTGCCTAACCCACCCTCACCCCCCGTCCAGTCCTCGCCGGGCACCCCGGGGGGGGCCGCCGCTCGCTGCCACACGTGCGGTATCGGAGCGGCGGCGAGCTGCCACTCCGCGCCGGGCACGCCGACCGGACCCCCCCGCGGTGCCACGGGCGGCCACCCGGGCCACGCGCGGCACGACGCCTGGGCCACAGCGGTCGGGCACCGTCCCTTCGTGCAGCCTGCGTACGGAGGAGCTGCGGGTACGGGAGGGGGGGGGGTGCGGTGTGCGGTAAACATCGGCACTGCAGGGCTGCACCTTTGCCCTCTTAATGCCACGTGGTTTCCGTTGCCCAGTGGCCTTGCCTCGGGTCGTTTTCGCCTTTTGCTCGTTTAGAGGCAACTGCGTGATTTCAATGCGATCTTAATTGAACGCAGTTGAGTTACAGCTATCTTCATGGAATTATTTCCGTAAGCGCATGCAGGAAAATAAAAGGCTCTGTGTATGACAGCTCGATGATGATGATAATGTGTAGTGCATGCGGACGAGCATTTTTGTTTTTACTTTGCGCTTGATGGTGATACCCAGTGATTGTATTTTAAATTGTCGCCTTTTCAAAATAACCCGTCATTTAAAGCGTTATTATTTGGTGCCCTGTCAATGAACTGCTCGGCGAAGGCCGCGCTGTCTTGTCATGCGGGGTGGGGTGGTTATTTCACCTGCCACGCTTCACTTGTGCGGTTGTGGTGAATGGGAAGGTGGGGAGCCAGCCACCGATTTGGATATAATTCGCTCGTGATATGGCTGAGAATCGAGTTATTTTTTGCGTCGTTGGGTTCGTAGTTGTGCGAGAGCCACTCTTCTACCACGAGATAATACAAATGTGGTGCTAAATGGGTTTTGTTGTTTGCAATAACGGCGTTTATCAAGAAAGCCGCTTTATTCAACGATCATTTGTGGTAAAGTGGCTTCTGAAAAAGTGCAAATATAGCTCGGTGTCTTGCCTGATAAAAAATAAAAACGTTTTAAAATTACCCCTCTTCCACAACTTAACCCAATTAAGATTTGCACCAACAAAATTTAATTGCGGCTTCAAGGTCCTGCACGATGCATTTCTCCATGGCGATGATGAACGAAGACTTTCTTTTTTAAAATCTGTGGTTTTGTGAGAAACGAGGTTGCCAGAGGCAACTTGCTATATTGATCTCAACGAGGTGCTATCGTGGTGCTGAGGTTGTGGCCACCCTGTTCACTGGCTGGGTATTGAGAGAAGAGAGGATTTCTGATCGGATCTCCACCTGCATCTTTTACCAAACACCTGATGCCCGATTTTGTAATGTCCAATGAGACGTCGTACGGAAATATGATTGTTTTTTTGGGTTTTTTTCAACATTCTGGTTTGCCGAAACCACATAAATTGGTGTGGTGCTCCAGGTGACAAATTTAATTTGTTGGGTGGCAGATGGTGTAGCAGAACATTGGGCATTGTAGAGCAGTACCCCAATTTACATTGGTGATGCGTTCCTGAAATGTGCGACGTAAATTTAAGCAATTTTTTCCCAAAATACCGTACATCAATAATGTATTTTGTTATCGAAAGCACAGTACATGTCGTCATGTACGACATCAACGGAAAGTCACGCTCCAGGTAAGGGCGGGAACATCGGTTTAAAATCGAAATGTAGGCGCTCGATTGGTCTGCGCAGGATAGCACCACGTGACCCTGGATCTTCGGATTCCCAGGGCGTCAAAGGGAGGGAGGTGAAAAAACGTTCAGGTGGTTCTCCAGCCATCCAGCCACCCCAGTCTGACTCCCGGCCGCTCGCGGCGTCCGAGGGACGCTGGCGAGCGCCGCTACGACTCGACCCCAGGTGGAGACCTCTTGGATCATCGTGCCTCCGACTCCCGCAGCTTCCGTGCGACACCGTGAGTGCATCTGCGAGTTGAGAAGTAGAGTGTGGGGGGTACACCCAGGGATTGAATAGGGATAGGCTACACGCTGCTCGTGGAATATTTACTACTGGGCCGCACAGGGTTTTCTTTAGACGCGTCATTAATAAACTTCAGTTCAGAAGATCGGTGCGGTGCGATTTCTGTGTGCGCGTGTGGGCGAACTTCGGCGTGGTGTCTGTGATTTTTGAGTGGAGCGACTGCGTGCGGGGCCGGGGTGCGTGAGAGAGCGAGCGCGGGGCTGCAGTGTGTCGGCCCGGGGTTGGTGTGTGAGGTGCGCATCTGTAGTGGATTCGAATTAGGTGCACACACAACTTCCTGGGAGGCAACACTTATTTATTAATGAACACAACAGTTAGCTCTTACATTACGCATAGGGTGGTGACCACCGACTTACTCTAGCTAACACACACTTCTCAGATACCCTAGGGAGGTACAGCCTCCTGTCTTGGCGGGACTTACACGTCTACCGCTATCCTGGAGTCCGCCGGCTGGGACCTACACACGGATCTCTTCTTGGCGTCTTCACGATGCATCTTCATTCTTGATACGGGCAGCCTCGAACCTCGTGAGGAGGCTGCTTATATGGGCCTCGGCGTGCCCAGGCTCCGCCCCGGCCACGCCTCCCTTCGAGAACCCTCTCGAAGGCCCCCCCCCCCCCACTTGCTGTCCACATGCCCCCCGAGGTGCCCTCTAGACCCCCGGCCCCCACTGGGGTCCAGTCACGTGTCCAGCTGGGGTCACAGAGAGGGCCACGACCTCACACCACCCTCGTGGCCTCCCGAGTCCAGAACCGGCCCTAACGTCATTCCCGCCTCCAGCCGGGATGACGTCATGTGTGTGTGTACACCGGCGTGGTAGTGACGCTCCCCCGCATAGTGACGTCACACGTGTGCGTGTACGCAGTAGTGATGCAACCATCACTACACATCTATTACCGTCTATACGACCGCCACTGGTTACACGGGGTATCGCGCGGTGTGTGTGTGTAGAAGACGCGCGTCTGCAGCGCAGCGTGAGTGATTAAGGTGGGGTTCGGGGTGCGCTAAATCCACTCCACCGCCGTGTGCGTAGATCGCCATCTCTACGACCTGCTACGGTTTACGCGAGGGTTTCGCGTGGTGTGTGAGACGCGCGTCTGCAGCGCCGTGCGAGTGATTTGAGCGCGGTGCGCGTGAGGCACTCCGTGTACTGCAGCACACGGAGCGGCCGTGCTTGCGTGCGTGTTGTTGCACAGCGCGCCTAACGCAGCGCGTTCGCACAGTAGCATTCACGTTAACGGTGAGGCGTTCCCCATAGCCTGGTCCCAGCCGTTCCTTTCCCGCTTGCATTAGCACCTGTGCACAGCGGATTAAGGCTTATCCACGGTGGGGGGTGGGGGGGGGTGTGCATATTTGTAGTGTTCGATTTCACTCGGACAACTTTTGTCTTTCTTCGAACACCGCTTTATTTACAACTCTCCACATGTCCTCCATATTTCACAGTAGCCATGTCGCCACGGCTCGCTCGCCACCTTTGTCTCTCCACTCCCCACGATTACTGCGCTTATTCCACCGCTAACTTCTTCGTCTCCGCTCTCCGCTATCACCGTCACGATGCTCTCTCCACTGCTAACTACTTTGCCTCTGCTCTCCGCTATCACCGTCACGATGCTCTCTCCACTGCAAACTGATTTGTCTCTATACACCGCTATCACCGTCACTATGCTCTCTCCACTGCTAACTGCTTCGTCTCTGTTCAGCTCCGCTATCGCTACGCTCTCTCCACTGCTGGCTGCTCCTCTTCTTCAGCTCCGCTATCGCTATGCTCTCTCCACTGCTGGCTACTTCTCTTCAGCTTTGCTATTGCTACGCTGTTTCCAAGCTCCGGCTCCAACTCTGTCTCTCCAACTCTGTCCCTCAAACTCTGTCGCCAAGTTCTCCACCCTTCAATTCCCCGCTGCTGACTCCAAGCTCTCCATCTTCAACAACCTCGCTCAAATTCCCGACTCCCCAATTTATCCCCGTTCTGATTACTCCCCAATTAATTAGTCCGTGCCCCAACGACGCTCCGAGTCGTTCGCACCTGCTTCTCACCCAGACCTTTATGCGCCACTCTAGCCTTAACAACAGCTCCAGACAATCACAGCCGTCCTTGGCTCTCGCAGCTTAATTGCCCTAACATAACCTGCACTGTATTTGCCTTCGCGACAGGCTGACCCAACATAACCCTGTTTGCACTACACACCTTCCTACTCCACTACATATACAGCCGCCAGTTATTTTCAGTTAGCATTGCGGGCACGCGGATTAGGCCTTAATCCCAGGAGGTGCGCGCGTGTTACTGACACAGCAGCAGCCGATTTCTTTGTTTAGCGCTCAGCGTGCGCGGGAGAACGCCGGCGGCGGTGAGCCGGCCGTGTAGAGATGTCCCTCGGAGCTGGTGCGGGGGGGGGGGGATCACTCGATCGGCGGGGGCCCGGCGAGAGGTGGCCAACGAGGAGGAGGACGGGGGAGTTGAGGGGGTGGACGTTGCGCCCTGCCTGCTCACGGGGAGTGGGGAGGTGGGCGTCCGCCCCCACAAATGATGCTGTGCCAACTCCCTTCACCGTGGGCGTCAATCGACGATGAGCCACGCGACCCCCCCTGGCTCGCCAGGAGATGACGACATGGCAACGAGGCGTGGACTCCGCCTGTTGCCTCTCCACGGGGAGGCGAATCCCCATCACTTCCCCGATGTTGCACCGCACACTCGGCTTTAGGGTGCGAAAGAAGTTTCGACGTGACATTGGGGACTCACAGACGACCCGTAGACTCATAGACTCACCCATGGGTGTCTGTTGTGTGTGGGTGTCTGTTGTGTGTGGGTGTCTGTTGTGTGTGGGTGTCTGTTGTGTGTGGGTGTCTGTTGTGTGTGGGTGTCTGTTGTGAGTTTATGGGTGAATCTATGAGTCTATGGGTCGTCTGTGAGTCCCCCATGTTACATTGAATCTTCTTTCGCACCCTACACGCGTAAATTTACACATGTAAATAAAATGGTCCGCACCTAGAGAATAAAATGTTTCTTGCCAAAATAAACCTGCGGACCCACCCGAAGTGAGACCTGGGCTGGAGGGCCCACCGTGGGCTCCCTGGATGCGCTGAATGGAGCTCTCCTGTGCGTCTCACTTCATTTTGATGAATTCTTGCTCCAAAGGTATCATTGCCTTGTGACGGACGCCTTTTAAGGGACGTACGAAAGGCGTGCCCCGTTGTGTAGATCAGGAAGCCGATTCACTGGGGGAGCGGCGCTTGACGCCGCCTTGCGGGTGCCCCTTTCTCTGACGCGGGGCCACACGCCACGTGTTGCCGTGACGTCGATAACACAAACGGCGTGAAATAATGGAAAACAACAGCAAAGGTGGCAAACAAAATAAACGTTCTGATATTATTTTAATGTGACCATCACTAAAGGATTCGTGTACGACGGTGTTTTACCTTACTAGTTTGCTGTGTCGGGTGGTGGCGGGTTTAACGACACATTTAGATATTTACGCGATCTAACCCACACACCTCTGTTATGGATGAACTGCATCGTTTTGCAAGTCATCAGAGTGGACGAAACGTTTGCAGCTTGACGTTAATTGCAAGACAATTCACATAGGGTGACTGTAGCAGTGTGACACACAGGGTGACTGTAACTGTGTGTCACACACAAGGTGACTATAGCTGTGTCACACAGGGTGACTGTAGCAGTGTGACACAGGGTGACTGTAGCTGTGTGTCACGTGACTGTAGCTGTGTGTCACACAGGGTGACTGTAGCTGTGTGTCACGTGACTGTAGCTGTGTGTCACACAGGGTGACTGTAGCTGTGTGTCACACAGGTTGACTGTAGCTGTGTGTCACACAGGGTTACTGTAGCTGTGTGTCACAGCTACAGTCACCCTGTCAGACTGGACGAAACGCAAACGTTTCGTCCAGTCTGACGACTTGCAAAACGAAGCAGTTCATCCATAACAGAGGTGTGTGGTTTAGATCGCGTAAATATTAAAATGTGTCGTTAAACCCACTACCACCCGACACAGCCAACTAGTAAGGTGAAACACCGTCGTACACGAATCCCTTAGTGATGGTCACATTAAAATAATATCAGAACGTTTAGTTTGCTTGCCACCTTTGCTGTTGTTTTCCATTATTTCACACCGTTTGTGTTATCGACGTCACGGCAACGCGTGGCGCGTGGCCCCGCGTCAGAGAAAGGGGCACCCGCAAGGTGACGTCAAGCGCCGCTCCTCCAGTGAATCGGCTTCCTGATCTACACAACGGGCACGCCTTTCGTACGTCCCTTAAAAGGCGTCCGTCGCAAGTCAATGAAACCTTTGGAGCGAGAATTTATCCAATTGGAAGTGAGACGCGCAGGAGAGCTCCATTCGGCGCATCCAGGGCCCTCCAGGCCAGGTCTCACTTCGGGTGGGTCCGCAGGATTATTTTGGCAAGAAACATTTCATTCTCTAGGTGCGGACCATTTTATTTCCATGTGCATATTTACGCGTGCGTGAATTGCACCTTCAATATTTTTTTGTAAATGCTTTGTATATGTTTACGCATATATATGGTAAGCGGTGCAAAGATCCACCGGACCAATGTGAATTTGGATCGGGTAGATATGTAATGTTCGATTTCACTCGGACAACTTTTGTATTTCTTCGAACACCGCTTTATTTACAACTCTCCTCAATATTCCACAGTATCCATGTCGCCACGTACACGATGTGTGCGCGCAAACACAGTACCATGTATACACGGAACACACATGCAGGATGTTTACAATGATTATGAATGTAATGTCTTACACAGCACAAGCACTACAGTACTGTTGAGTCCTTGTCGTACTTCCCAAAGCCACATTTACTACACCGTCATCAGCAGCTATGATCGATCCACTGCTGGGTGAAGGCCTAAGGTTAGAAAGCAAACATTTATTCCGTGGTGTAACCCCCCCCCCCCTCTGCCCCCATCCCAACTCACCAGGCAATTTCAATGAATTGTCACAATTCAGGGTCGCGAATTGATTAAATAATCCATTCTTTTATATATAAAATTGCGGTGAATGTATCGGCCACTAGTGGCTGCTGCGAGGGTTACACGATCCCATGACATGCAACATATGTATACGATTTCACCAGAACAAATATTATTCTTACATGTGCACGTACACACGATGATGCATCGTGAGGTTAATAATTCAACATGAATCAGCGCATCATCTCTAAGAGACCGTTGTTTTAGTCACGTTTGAGGAGCTGAAGAACGTCTATGAAAGCAAATCTCAGCAATCTCTCTAATGGACTTGGCGGTCCCGCTGTGGTTAGAAATGGAATGTTTACGTCAGCAGTGGCAGGTAGTGTGCTCCTCAACACACTGTGGTGCTCACTTCTGGCTTTACTCTGAAACATTTTTTCCAACACCAACTTCTCTCTCTCTCTCTCTGCCCCCATCATGTTAATCCGCTGTTCTTTTACGTCGATCAACTGCGGGATGAATGCCTCCCCATGCCGAGCGGTCCGTGTGCGTTATTTGAACACATTTCATCGCGCCGGTCAGTGCGGGTTGGTGAGAATGGAGGTGCGTATGAAGTGGGAGCGTAGAAGAACGCTACAACAATTAACTTTCCTGTACTGCCTTCTCCTACCACAGCCCTCTTGTACACGGTGGTTACTCATCCATGCACTAGCCGGGCTCAAACCTGCTTAGCTTCTGAGTGTTTTGATGACCTGGTGCATTCCGAGAAAATTGGTCACACGCTCTCGAGACGTTCTGTCACCATGAACACGATTTTTTATGTTGAGCCCCACAATTCACAGTCAGCCCATTTTTGCAGTCCTCTCTTTCTCTCCTTCTTTCCTCCCACTGCTCGACTTTGAAACAAACTAAAAACTAAACTCCGAACTATTTTTCATTTCACCAGGAAAGGCCCCACTGAGCTACACACAGGCAGATATTTTTGTCAGAAGCGAGCAACCTGGCCACACATTATAGCTCAGCGAAGTGTGCTTATGTTGTGTGTGGTGGACATTTATAGCAGCCAAATATTCCAAATGCATGTTTCAAAAATGCGGAGGGAAATCCGGACCACGGGGAGAAACTGCAAACACCAAATATAAACATAAAATACCCCTCGTCACTTTTCTTAAGTTCTTATTACCTTGCTTATTGCAGGAAGTGTGTTGACGCTTCTTTTTTGCATCTTCTAGTGCACTGTTTGTTGCTGGCTCATTGACATTTTGAGCACAAGGCAGGATTGTGACCACAGGCTTACCCCTGCCTTGAATGTCACACGTGCACGTACAACAAATCATGACTCTGGCTCAGATCAAGAACCGCGTTCCACTCCCATCAACCACAGCTCCCATCAGAGTGCTGTTTGTGCCTGGCCGCCTCGCGTGTTGGGCCTCTACTCAGCAACTGTTTGCACGCAAAATTTACAGGCAGAAACCATCGGTTTTATGGTTTTATTATTTTTAATGTTCAATTTATTATTTTTATTTGAAAATGTTATTTTATTATTTTTATTTTCTATCTTCGTGACTTTACCGCAAAGAATATTGTAATACATTTACACTGTCAACTTTAGCTGTACATTGTGAATACGAAGTGTATATGGTATATTTATATGTTTTGTATAACGTAACACAATCAGCCATAGATCAGCGGGGTCGTGGTTCAAGCGCGGGGTCAGAGGTCGGCAGGAAGCGCGCGGCGGGGTCAGAGGTCAGCAGGAAGCACGTGGTGCTGGCGGCAACGCGGCCTCAGTTCAGTTCCATGTATTTGGTATAACCCTGTGAGCCATTCAGCTCTTGAATCCGGTGCGGCCCTTCCCTCTGCTGCTGCTGCCCTCTGCTACTGCTGCTGCCCTCTGCTGCTGCTGCCCTCTGCTGCTGCTGCTGCTGCCCTCTGCTGCTGCTGCCCTCTGCTGCTGCCCTCTGTTGCCGCTACTGCTGCTGCCCTCTGCTGCTGCTGCCCTCTGCTGCTGCTGCCCTCTGCTGCTGATACTGCTGCTGCCCTCTGCTACTGCTGCCCTCTGCTGCTGCCCTCTGCTGCTGCTGCTACTGCTGCCCTCTGCTGCTGCTACTGCTGCTGCTACTGCTGCTGCTGCCGTCTGCTGCTACTGCTGCTGCCCTCTGTTGCTGCTGCTACTGTTGCTGCCCTCTGCTGCTGCCCTCTGTACTGCTGCCCTCTGTTGCTACTACTGCCCTCTGCTTCTGCTGCCCTCTGCTACTGCTGCTGCCCTCTGTGCTGCTGCTGCCGCCGGTGCCCGCGGGTTGCATTGAGCTTCGCGTGCGAGCCGAAGGGCGACGCGAAGCGGCGCTTCTACGGAGAGGAACAGCAGCAGCAGGAGCACAGCGCCCTCGACTGGCAGGTGCGGTGGTGGCGGCCTGGGGTCGTGTTAGTGGTGGCTATGGTGGTGGTTGTGGTGGTTGTGGTGGTGGTGTTTGTGGTTGTGGTGGTGCTTGTAGTGGTGGTGGTTGTGGTGGCTATGGTGGTGGTTGTGGTAGTGGTGGTTGTAGTGGTTGTGGTGGCTATGGTGGTGGTTGTGGTGGCTGTGGTGGTGGCTGTGGTTGTGGTGGTGGTTGTAGTGGTGGTGGTTGTGGTGGTGGTGGTGGTGGCTGTGGTGGTGGTGGTTGTGGCTCTGGTGGTGGCTGTGGTGGTGGTTGTGGTGGCTGTGGTGGTGGCTGTGGTGGTGGTGGTTGTGGTGGCTGTGGTGGTGGTGGTTGTGGCTCTGGTTGTGGTGGTGGTAGCTGTGGTGGTGGTGGCTGTGTTGGTGGCTGTGGTGGTGGCTGTGGTGGTGGTTGTGGTGGTGGCTGTGGTGGTGGCTGTGGTAGTGGTGGTTGTGGTGGCTGTGGTGGTGGCTGTGGTGGTGGTTGTGGTGGTGGCTGTGGTGGTGGCTGTGGTGGTGGTGGCTCTGGTTGTGGTGGTTGTGGTGGTGGTGGCTGTGGTGGTGGTGGTTGCGGCTCTGGTTGTGGTGGTGGCTGTGTAATTGGTTGACAATATTTTGTATTTCTCTCAATTTCAATAGATTTTATAATTAGTATTGGCCAGTATTAAGACTAAAATAACACCAAAGAAATATGTTGATGTTTGTGTAAAACGAATTATTATTGGCCACGACTATTTAGATCATCTGTTGAAATTGAGAGAAATAAAAAAAACTATTTCACCGTTCTGACAGCTGCAGGCTCAGTGCTGCTGGGAGCGTATTGTTTAGTAATACATTTAACGCATGCTTATATCCAGGTTATCCAGGTTAACTCGTCCGTCTTCAGGCCAAAGCCGGGGTCTGCTTCTGATAAGATCGACCGCGTGACGCTGTGCGGGCAACGGGGAGCGCTGCAGAACACGTCGATGATGCGCGTGCGCGACACCAAGATATTCTTGGTGTCGGCGTACCACGACCAGCGCGAGGCCGGTCAGAGCACACGCATCATCGGCATCGCCAACCGGTATGAGCCGGACGTGCTCTCCTGCCACTTCTGCTGCCGAGGGCACTCGGAGATCCTGACGGTCACCGCCAGCGCCTACGTCCACTCGGATCACTTTGACTTCCCGTACGGCACGGCCGACTTCCTGTGCACGGAGCCGCTGGACTGCGAGCCGGGACACGTGTCCGTCCAGCGCATGCGCACAATACCGGACGAGGAGGAGGCCGAGTGGGTCTTCATGCCCGTGCGAAATCGGCTCTACATGCCCCCCACCTTCACACAGGAATTCAGCGTCTGCATCTCCACGCTCTTCGGGAACTACGGCAACGTCCTGCAGTTCGTGCAGGCGATCGAAATGTACCGCATCTTGGGTGCGGGCCGCGTGACGGTGTACAACACAAGCTGCAGCTCTGAGCTGAACAAAGTGCTCCTCTACTACATCAAGACCGGCCTCGTCGAGGTCGTTCAGTGGCCCATCACGGACTACGTGCGGGTGTCCAGAGGGTGGCACTACCCCGAGCACCCAGGCGAGCTGCACTACTATGGCCAGATAGCGGCGCTGAACGACTGCGTGTATCGGCACATGTACAGCACGCGCTACCTGGTCCTCACGGACATCGACGAAGTGATCATCCCTTTGAAGCACACAAACTTGAAGGACCTCATGCGGTACTTGAACGACAAGTACGGCGCCGACATTTACACATTCGAAAACCACGTGTTTCCCTACAACGGTATCGGAAGAGTTTGGGTCGAAGTTCCAGGCGTGGAACGCCATCCCGGGCGTCAACATCATGCGCCACATTAGACAGGAGCCAAACCTGCCGGAGGTCTTCAACCCGACCAAGATGATCCTGAACCCACGCGCGGTGCTGCAGACGTCGGTGCACAGTACGCTCAACGCGCTGGGCATCTCGCAGATGGTGCCCGGAGACATCGCGATCATGCACCACTACCGATCGCCCAAGCAGCCCGACCTGCCGCTCGACTCGCTGGCCGTGGACCTCACGCTGTGGAGATACAATGCCACTCTGATCAGAAATGTCAACAAGGTCCTCAACAGGGTCTTCTGGAATGAGTAGGCACAACGGGCGGCGGTGGCGGCGGCGTTGATTGTCGTCTTGCGTTTTTTGCGGTCTTGCAATTTAAGTTAAACACCGGTGTTTGTGAGTTTTTCGTTTGCGAATGTGGTCAATGTATGGGACATTTATTTGCTAATCTTATGATTGCGTTTACAGTTAAAATTTGTTATCTTCATTTTTTTCTGCATTTGAATCCACCAGGGCACAATAGGGGTTGTATTGGTATGTCTTATGGAAGCTAGGGAAGTTAACATTGGTTTATTTTAAACCAATCCTAATTATTTCTATTGCTTTTGGGAGTACCACTCGAAATGTTTTCAGGTTAAAACATTTAAAATGTGGCACAAATTGATTTAAATAAATGTTCAGTGTGCATGTTCTACCAGTCTCTAATGAGCTTATTGTTTTCATGACTCGTGTCCACGGAGGATAGTCAAATCCCAGAGGATGGTGGCAGGATTTTAAAAAGTAAATCCTGTGGTGATAAAAAAAATGTACATACGATATTAAACTTTTAATTTGAGTGATAATTTGAATGACAGGTGTGTTTTGGGCCAAATGAGCTAGTAAAGACTCACATTAAACATAATAGATTCAGTAGGAATATATTTATACATCCAAATGTATATAGTTGTGTATTTGAATATGTATCAACACCAGCTGTTGATACATACAACTCATTTTAAATTATAAAGCCATGTTAATGTATTCCTAAACAATACATGGAGTTGACATTTCTGAATTGTTGCATTAGATAGTTTCACGATGGATTATTCAGCAGAAATCATCATTATCACGTACTATCAATCTTGCAAACCAGTTTTAAACATATACAGCAAAATGCTATTACTATTCTTTATCTACATATATAATATCACAGATCTGTCCTTCTGTCATTCTGTGACTGTGATTAACGCCTCCGGATTGGTTTAAGTGCGTCACGTGACCCCGAGCAAACAGCCAACCAGAGGTGCGCCCCTCCCAAACATGTATGCCCCCGGATTGGTTTAAGTGTGTCACGTGACCGCGAGCAACCATCCAAGCAGAGATGAGCCCCTCCCAAACATGTACGCCCCCCGATGCTGCCCTGAGGCAGAGCCGTGCTCGGGCCGCTGCTGCCCCGAGGGAGATGGGTGAGGAGACATGTGACAGGAGAAGGGTGAGTGAGAGTGAGGAGAAGGGTCAGAGTGAGTGAGCAGAAGGGTGATTGAGAATGGTGAGAGTGAGGAGAAGGGTGAGTGAGAGTGAGGAGAAGGGTGAGTGAGAGTGAGAAGGGTGACAGTGAGAATGGTGAGAGTGAGGAGAAGGGTGAGAGTGACAGGAGAAGGGTGAGTGACAGGAGGATGGTGAGGAGAAGAGTGAGTGAGAGTGGAGAATATATGTAATTTGTACGTGTTTATCTTAGGGATGATTCTTTGGTAGAATACTTCAATACAAAACTTCCATAAATCGTTAACAAGTTTATATGCTTAACCCAGATATCATGGCACTTATGTATATTTAATGAGAGTGCGCCACCTACAGGACGACCGGGGGGTTATTGCAGACACGTGCTATGTTGTCTCACATCCAATCAGTAAGGGGGATCCCATCTGGGTGAAAGGTAAATGGGTAGAGCTAGCGGGAAGCCTCGAGAGCCCTCTAAAATGTTCCGAGAGGGGCGTGGCTAGAGGCGGAGCTTAGCACCGCCGAGAGGGATATAAGCAGAAGCAGCAGAGGACTCTGGGTCGTCGGTGTGAAGAGCCTCGGTCCGAACGTCGTCACCACCTGCGCTACCACCCATCGGCCACGTGGCGGGCTCCACCAGCTGAGCCTCCCCTCTCCGACACGCCGTCAGCCAGCGGCGAGGCGGAGAAAGAGTGAGTGCCACGGCGGCGGGAGGCAAAGCGTGCGCCGCCGTCCCGGGAGCAAGAGAGAAGCCAGCCGCGCAGGGAGACACGTGCTGTACTGCAACTTGAGAATAAATACAACTGAAGTTTAACCCATGTCGGAGACGCTGATTACATATTGATAAGTGGATGTTAATAAAACATGCAACTAGTCGTAGTCAAAACCTTCTGTATTGTCATGTAACAATGTATCCGTTCACAAAAGTTAACATTTAAAATCGTGACGTTTAACAATATTCACATGCAGCGGTTGGCAATTTTACGTTTCAACTTTCCAGGCACTCGGGTTTGTTAATTCAGAGAGTGAAACAGCAAGGGACATTCTCGTCTCTTTGTCCTGTGTTTGCCCTCGGGTGCAGTGAGTTTATGGTGTTTTGCCATGGGTCCTCCCTTGCTCTCTCAGAAATTCCCTGAGTCACTCCTTGCCCATGGAAGAGTTATTCCTTTATGGCCTTTCATTAACGTTTCACCTTTTGCTACATGAGTTAGGTTTATTCCTGAGAAGCGAAATATTCGACGGCTTTAAGGCCCTCCTCAGCTCTGGTTATTCTCATCATGCCCATCTGATCAATGTCTCTTGTATTATGTTTACCCGTTTCTCATTATAGTGCTGTTTTGGCTTCGTCATCTGGTTTTCCCAAGCTTCAGCATGCAGGGAACGCATATTTGTCTCCAAGGAGCCATGATATAAAAAATAGACAATATTACACTAACATTTTTTTGGAAGAGGCATATATACAACAGGTGTGGGAGCATGGCGCTGAGGTTTAGGAAACTGTAAGTCCCAGGGTTCTATGGTCTGGCCTTCCCATAAACAAAACACGAGGAATGGTAATGGTGGTTGCTTACGCCTCCACCGACTATTAACACCAGTGGAGGGATGGAGGCAAGGCCGGTGAGTCAGATGCCTTCTATGACCTGTCACAAGTACTAGCTAAAGTCGCCCCTTGGGATGGAGTCATCCTGTCGGGTGACTTTAATGCCTGAGTGGGTCATGACACTGGCACCTGGGCCAGAGTGATTGGAAGGCATCGGCCAGAACAGCTCAATAACAATGGTAGGAGGCTGCTAGACTTCTATGCAGCACATTGGGCTTACCAACACGCTGTTCCGGCATCGGCGCATCCAAACAGCATCATGGATGCACACTGGGTCCAAGCAGGGACATCTGCTGGACTATATAGTAACAGAACACCGAATGCAAGCCCATGTCCTTGACACCAGGACCTACCGTTGAGGTGATCTGCCCGTTGACCATATGCTTGACATCTGTAAGATTTTCCACTCCGGTGGTGGGTGTCCATCTAGGACACCATTCAAAGCCACATTGGCCTGGTCTCAGCTAGCTGATGAACGTTGCAAGTTAGAATGTCATCATCTCTTACAGGAGAATACAAGTTAGGAAGCATTAAAGTCAGAACACAGATCAGAACATTTAATTAAATGACTGCGTGTTGTCTTGGTGTGGTCTGGGACTGTTTTATTGGTGTTTTACTGCGTTGCCCTAGCTTACGTTCTGTATTGATACATCGGCAGGCATGTATGTACTCATTTAATTTGTACTTAGATACTATATTTATAGTCGTACATTTTTAGTGACTTGCATTACTTTTTTCTATTTTGTACTCCTAACAAAATTGTATTGCTTGTTGTAACTTGATCCGCCCCTGCTGGACATTTGTGAAAAAGACCAGAAACCTTCACATTACAGGCATCGCAGAGTCCAATTCCAGTTGTCTCCAGACACTCAGACCGCCACACGCAAGCCCGCACTTTGTTGAAGGAACTGGTTCCCAGAGAGTTGGCTGCAACAATCCAATGCAAGCAATTTAACGGGGTTCAGGAGTTACATGAGGTGCATCCGAAAACGCTACATATTGACATAAATAATTGAATCACGCTCTATTGGGGGCAGAGTGGTGCACCAGAATGTGTCTGGGATCGATTCCAGACTCGTGTGCTTTTTTGGGTGGGGTTGGCATGTACTCCCCTTGTTCTGCATGAGGGTGAGTGAGCATGTGAGTGGAGTTGGAATGTACTCCCCTTGTTCTGCATGAGGGTGAGTGAGCGTGTGAGTGAGTGGAGTTGGAATGTACTCCCCTTGTTCTGCATGAGGGTGAGTGAGAATGTGAGTGAGTGGAGTAGGAATGTATTCCCCTTGTTCTGCATGAGGGTGAGTGAGCGTGTGAGTGAGTGGAGTTGGAATGTACTCCCCTTGTTCTGCATGAGGGTGAGTAAGCGTGTGAGTGAGTGGAGTTGGAATGTACTCCCCTTGTTCTGCATGAGGGTGAGTGAGAATGTGAGTGAGTGGAGTAGGAATGTATTCCCCTTGTTCTGCATGAGGGTGAGTGAGCGTGTGAGTGAGTGGAGTTGGAATGTACTCCCCTTGTTCTGCATGAGGGTGAGTAAGCGTGTGAGTGAGTGGAGTTGGAATGTACTCCCCTTGTTCTGCATGAGGGTGAGTGAGCATGTGAGTGAGTGGAGTTGGAATGTACTCCCCTTGTTCTGCATGAGGGTGAATGAGCGTGTGAGTGAGTGGAGTAGGAATGTACTCCCCTTGTTCTGCATGAGGGTGAGTGAGCGTGTGAGTGGAGTTGGAATGTACTCCCCTTTGTTCTGCATGAGGGTGAGTGAGCGTGTGAGTGAGTGGAGTTGGAATGTGCTCCCCTTGTTCTGCATGAGGGTGAGTGAGCGTGTGAGTGAGTGGAGTTGGAATGTACTCCCCTTGTTCTGCATGAGGGTGAGTGAGCGTGTGAGTGAGTGGAGTTGGAATGTACTGTGGCGAGGCCCTAATCCGCTGTGCACCAATGCTAATGATAACGAAAACGGGATGGCTGCGGCAGGACTCTGGGTGCACGCCTCGCCGCTAAGGCTGTTTTTACTATGCACACGCTGTGTAAGTGCGCGCGAGTGCCAGCAAGTGGGCCCCACGCTGAAACCCTGCAGCCCCGCGCACACCCTCTCATGCACACCGTCTCCCCACAAAAATCACAGACTCCACGCCGAGGCTCTACCCACACACACAGAAATGAACTAAAGTTTATTAACGACACAAAAACCCGCTACCTGGAGGGGGAATATTTCGTGAGGAGAGCCTAGCCTAACTCTGCCTATGACCCCAGTTACACAAACGTCCTACCATGTACATCGTAGCTGTTCTCACGGCATCGCACGGACGCTATGAGAGTCAGAGGGAG